CCCGCCAGGCGTGCGGGGGTCATGCTGGTCCCGCCAGCTGTGCGGGGGTCATGCTGGTCCCGCCAGGCGTGCGGGGGTCATGCTGGTCCCGCCAGGCGTGTGGGGGTCATGCTGGTCCCACCAGGGCGGGAAAGGCAGCCAGATGCCTGCTGGAGGAGGCCCGGGGCAGGTCTCAGTGGGCAGGTGGGCTCAGTGTGCTCAGCGTCTGACTGAGGGCTGCCTGGCCAGCAGGGACCACGGGGATCAGAGCAGCACAGACAGCGAGGCCACTTGTCCTGGCCCTTAAAGGAAATATGGAAATGAGGTCGTGGGAAGGGACATCAGCTCATGGCCACCGGGACAGCCTGGACAGCAAGGCCGGGTCCCCGTCAAGTGAGCACATTCCAGTGGGACGGCCAGGAAGCCGACTCTGGCCGACACCGCACAATGGCAGGAAGAGCGTGTGCGCACAGAGAAAAGGCGGGAAGGCTGGAGGGCAGGGGCTGGGAGGGAGCGTGCGCCCACCGAAGGGGCAGGCCGCGACATCCGGGCAGGGAGCTTTCAGCAATACGGGCAGTTCTATGAGAACTCAGGCAGGTGACCCCCCAGGGAGGTGAGACACCCCCCCACAGGGAAGTGAACCCCAGACAGGTAAGACCCTCAGACAGCTGAGACCCCCAGAGAGGTGACCCCCAGACAGCTGAAACCTCTAGAGGGGTGACCATCCAAGGAGGTGTGCTCATGGGCTGGGAGTTTGGGGTGCAGTGTGTGAGGGTGCACCTGGGCAAGGGGCTCCTTCAGAGGGCAGGAGGCGGGCTCTGGGGCCCTGCACAGGGGACGGTGTGATCTACCCTCTGGCTGTTACCTGAGAGGCCCTAGTCCCCTTCCTCCCTCCTCACCCTCTACCACCCCACTCCTGAGAAGCAGGAGAGGCTGGCGGCAGGGGCATCATGTGTACTGCTCGAGGTCCTTGGCACTGAGTCTCCCCCTCTCTTTCAGCCCTGTTCCCCAATGTCATCAACCAGCAATACCTGGGGACTCTGCAGTTCCTCTGCTACAAACGGTTTGTGGAGGTATGTGGGGGGCGGGGCCCAGGCTTGGCAGTACCTGTGCTGGGAGTGGCCCTGCAGGCCACCAGACCACAGGTGTGGTGAGGCCCTGAGCAGGAGAGGATGGGTCAGGGACACGGATGTTCTGCAGAAGAGGTCACCCCGTGTTCACTCTTGCAGGGAAGCCTGTCTCAGGAGAACTGGGCTGACCACGTGCAGGTGAGGCCATGGCTGGGCTGTCCACCAGACTCTTGTAGGGCCCTGCTTGATTTGCAACTCAGACCTGTGATGTCTGGGGGAGACCGTGTGCCCATGTACATGCCTGTGCACACTCACGTGTTTGTCTTGGGTTCTCTGGAGGAGCAAAACCCGTGAGGCACATGTAAATATGTGCATAGTGGTCACTTCATTACTTCAAGGAAATCGTTCGTGTGACCAGGGTAGGGGAATGGCCAGTCCCAAATCCACAGGTCAGGCAGCAGGTTGGAGACCTCTCCTGCTTGATGGGATTCTGGAGGCTGGCAAGTCCAAAATCTATAGGTCGGGCAGCAGGCCAGAGACTTCTGCAGGCCTGCATCCAGGAACTGGAGGTCAGGTGGCAAGAAGGATGTAGCATCGAAAGGGAGAACGAGAAAACTCAACCAGAAATAACTCCTTATGTTCTGAGGCCACAGCCCCAAGAAAGCTTCCCTTTCAGCTAATCGTTTGGTCACATCATGGAAAGTTACAACATTACATTGCATAACCATCAACATCCCATCAGCATCCCATCCCATCATCCCATCGTCCCACCAACATCAACTCCACATCACCATCCTATCCTGTCCTACCATCCCATCACCTACCTCTTCATCCCATCACCATCATACCATCTCAACACCTCATTACCATCCCAACTTCCCACTGTCCCACCAATATCACCATCCCCTCAACCCATCACCCCATCTCTTCATCCCTTCCCTATCACCCCATCACCATCACCTCTTCACCATCACATCACCTCAACACTTCATTACCATCCCACCATCCCATCCCATCATCCCAACAACACCATCACCCCAACCCTTCATCCTATTGCCATCATGTCATCTCAACATCTCATTACCATCCCACCATCCCAATGTCCCACCAACATCACCATCACCTCATCCCATCACCCCATCTCTTCATTCCTTCCCCATCACCTCATCACCATCACCTCTTCCCCATCACCTCATCTCAACACCTCATTACCATCCCACCATCCCATCCCATCATCCCAACAACACCATCACCCCATCTCTTCATCCTATTGCCATCACGTCATCTCAACACCTCATTACCATCCCACCATCCCATCATCCCACCAACATCACCTCACCCCATCCCATCAGCCCATCTCTTCATCCCACTACCCCGTCTCTTCATCCCCCCACCATCACCGCCTCACCCTCACCTCATCTCAGCATCTCTTCACCATCCCACCATCATCATCACATCATCTCACCTCATCAGCACCCTGTCACCACCTCATCACCATCCCAACAGCAGCCATTCCAGTACCTGGCCTAGCCCAGTTGACGTATATGGGGTGTGAGTGTGTGCTCGGCTGTGTATGAGTGTACACATGGTGTGTGTGCGTGTGCACATCTGTGTATGGTGTGAGCAGTAGTCTTCCACCACCCCTAAGCAGGCCACCAGCTTTGCTTTGCATGGGCCCCGGTGATGAAGGAGACATCCCTCCCCTGGTTGGGCAGGAACAGGCTGTGCTGCCTGGGCAGAAGTGCAAGCTTGGGAACCACTGGCCCTGCTCAGGACTTCGAGCAGTGACCAGTGCAGTGGTGGGCTCCTGGTTCTCCTGCCATGGGTCTGAGGCCCTGGCTGGGGCTGTCCTATGGTTGGGTCCCTGCTGTGTGCACCCTTCCTGCCCTGTTAGCTGCTTCCTCCTGCTCCATGGCCTAAGGCAGCGGCACCATCCAAGAGCCTCCGGAAATGGCAGGGTCAGCTGCTCAGAGGCCCTGAGGACCCATGGCGTCCTGGCCACTTTGTGGGAGGGAGGGTGTAAGGAATGGGCAGGGCCAGGGAGTCAGCGGGGAAGGAACACCCAGATTCCCAGCATCCTCTCCACCTTCCTCCCTGGAGCAGAACTCACCCAAAGTAGGGTTCCCCTACCTTGAACCAGCAGGGACCCTGAGGTGAGGCTGAGGTTCCAGGCACCCCTCAGCCATGGGGCAGCTCACTGAGTGCCCACCCCAGGCTGTGTGGGCCCCTGCCCTGTGCCAGGGAGCTGCCGCTCAGGGTGATGCACTCCAAAGCAGAGGCACTAAGGGGGCTGCACTGTGGGTGCCCTTCCCTGGGATGGCAGCCGGGATGAGAGCTGTCCCTTTAGGCCTGAGCTAGAGCAGAGGGTCGGCCACAGGGGCAGAGCTGTCCCCAGGCCCCAGGTCGCGGAGCCTGGCGGGACAAAGGTCCTCAGGACCCAGCGTGGCAGGACTCTGAGCTGTTTGGTGGAGCGGGTCAGTGTCTCCCTCTCAGGGAGAAGAGCAAAGACCTGGAGTCCCCTGCTACTGCCTCAGTGGCCTCCAGCCATCCCCGTCCCCAGAGGTGACAGGGACGTGAGTCACCAGAGAGGAACGTCACCCCCCACCCGGGAGGGCCCGGAAAGGCCGTCCCCCCTGGGTGCCAAGGCCGAGGCAGCCGGAAGGGCAGCGGACATCCTGAGGAATGCGGACGGGTTTCCACTTATTGTCGTCCACGTGGGAACCCGCGGCCGCAGAGGAGGCGGCAGCCGGAGCCACGGGGTGGGGCTGTAGGGGCTCCTGGGGGGAGGGCCCCCACCTTCTGTCCTCACAGCCTGCAGTGATGGCCTGACCTGTGACCTCAGGGACTTGAGACCTTGCATGGCCAGCCTGGATTTGCAGCGGTTGGGGGCCTGAGGAAGGCTGTTGGCCTTGCGTTGGGGTGCAGCAGGCTGGGACAGCAGGCAGCTGAGCCAGCTCCCCTTGTGTGTGCTTAGCTGGCAGAGGGCCTCCGGGGGCCTCTGTCCTGCTCAGTACCCTGCACCCAGGACAGATGCCAGCCAGAGCCCAGGGTGGGGCCGGGGTTCCATGGAGGCCAGCTGCGGAGAGGGCTCTGGAGGGCGCCGGGCAGAGGGGCGTGCTGGAAGAGTGGTGCAGTTACAGAGCCAGAGAGGCCACCTGCAGGTGCAGGTGCATGCAGCCCTCCAGCTTAGCTGAGCCGGCCTCTCATCTCCAGGCCTTCTGGGGAGTGGAGCCTCTCCTTCTCCCAAAGGGCTCAGAGTGGGTCTGGTGAGGTCAGGGCAGGCTTTGAGGTTGAGAACTGGCCTGGACCTGGACAATATCCCTCAGGGTGGACGTTGAGGTGTGTGCCCGTTGCTGCGTGGGCATCCATGGCCAGCCACGCTGACCAGCCCTGTCTCCTCAGGGCCTGGTGGGGCAGAATGAGTGGCTGCAGGACCAGCTGCTCCAGCTGCTGACCTCGCATGGTGACGCGGCCATGGCTGCCCGGTGTGTCCGGGACCTCTCACTGCCTGAGGGGCGGCTGCCGGCTTCCGTGGCCGCAGAGCTGACCACGCTTCGGCTCCAGGAGAGGTCAGTACTTTGGGCCGGGCTGGGTCTGCCTACGGCAACCTTGACTCTGGGAGACGACTACCCGATTGACCAGAGTGGTGGGGGCCTTAGTTCTGCCCCTCTTAGGATGGCCCTGGCTGGTGGCAGGCCAGAGGAGCCCAGCAGCCGGGACGGGAGCAGTTACTACCGGCTGCCTGTCACCAGGGAGCACATCCACTTCTTGGCCACGTGCGAGGACCTGACCCGGCACAGGCCCCAGCTCCTGCAGGTGGGCCCGGGCCGGGTGGGTGGGGTGGGCCCAGGCCTGGGTATTCCCCTCTCCCCTCACACTGCCCCCTCTGTGTGCACAGCCTGGTGGGGTGGTCGGTGTGGACCTGGAGTGGAGGCCTTTGTTCCAGGCAGCTGCCCGGCCCTGCGCCTCCCTAGTGCAGCTGGCGGTGGAGGGCTGCGTGCTGTTGCTGGACGTGCCTGGACTCGCTCAGCCGCCAGGGGGACAGGGCGCACAGGCCTTGTCTCAGTTCCTGGGCCAGCTCCTCTCGGACCCCTCCATCACCAAACTGGGTGAGCTTGTGCTATCGGCCAGCAGAGGATGCTGAGTGTGCCTTGGGGCCGGGCGAGGAGGAAGGCCACACCCTCATCCTACTGTGGCCCCACAGGTTACGGGATGTCAGGAGACCTGCGGAGTCTGGGCACCTCCTGCCCCACCCTTGCCAATGTTGGGCAGCAGATTCGGGGAGCCCTGGACCTGCAGTGGGTGCACAGGCAGGTAGGTGGGAGCAGGGTGGCAGCAGGAGTGAGTAGGGGGTACAGAGGGGCAGCATGGAGGCCAGAGAGTAGAAGTGGGGCCATTGGCGCAGGGTTTGGGTGAGGGGCATGGTGTTGTGCCTAGGTTTGGGGGTCAGGGTACGTGAGAGGGATGGGGCGTGGAGGAGCCAATCATGGGGTCAGGGGCGGGATGTGGGTGAGGGCACAGGACCCAGGTGGGCAGCCAGGACCCAGGTGAACCCACCAGTCTGGCCCCTTCTGGGCCGGAGGCGGATGCTGGGTGCTGTCTCGGCAGATGCGCGAGGGAGCCACCCCGAGTCCAGGTGTGGACACAGCAGAGGCCCCTCGGGGCCTGAGTCTGCTGGTGCAGCAGGTGCTGGGCAAGCCTCTAGACAAGGCCCAGCAGCTCTCCAACTGGGACCTGCGGCCCCTGCGCGAGGAGCAGCTGGTCTATGCAGGTACGTGAGGGGAGGCGGCCGGAGCGCTCCCCGGGTGGGGCGGCCCCTCCCTGGAACACACACACACACACACACCCCGTCCTGTGCCCCTGCCGTGTGCATTCCAAAGAGGCTGAGGCCGACCTCTGCCTCAGCCACAGACGCCTACTGCCTGCTGGACGTGTACAAGGTGCTGTGTGGAGACCCTGCCCGCTTTCACCTGTCTGAGAACCTGGCCAAGAGCCTGGGGGCCAGGTGCAGCATGAGATCAGGGGCCCAGGGGCCACGCCAGCAGGTGGGTGCAGGCCTCTGGGGGGGGGGAAACTTAAGGGGTTGGGAATGGGTGAGAGTGGGGGCGGGAGCACACCATGGGCTGCCCATCAGCACTTCCAAAACCGTGGCTGTCCAGAGGCCCCGGGCCCTTGCTCCTGACTGACCAGCCTGGTTGCCAGGAGGAGGCCAGGAGGCTGATAAGTGAGGGGTGGGCTGTGTTGCAGGCTTCTGCGTTGGCGACGGAGGAGTTGGCCCCTGAGGTCTCGGCTAGGAACTTCCGTGTGGTGTGTGACAACATGCTGCAGGGGCTGGCACGGAGCTTGCGTTGCCTGGGAGTGGACGTGCGTGTGCTGGGCGCCGGCGAGGACCACCGCAGAGCGGCTGAGGTGAGCCTGGGGCTGGGGTCCCAGCCTGTGGATGGACAGTAACCCATCCCCAGGGACGAATGGGGCTTCGGGAGGAGCTGTGCTGAGGGCCAGGGAAACAGTGCTGCAGGCTGGAACTGAAGGCAGGAAGGGCCGGGGAGAAGGCCATACCAGGTTAGCCCCTGCAGCAGCCAGGGCAGATACCGACAGCTGGGCGGCTCAAGACAGCAGCAGCCTGCTGCCTCGCAGCTCTGTGCCAGAGTCCAGAGCCAGGCTCGGGCTCGTGTCGGGGGCACAGGGCTACTGCTGGAGGCCCTGGCCCTCGTCTGTCCCAGCGACCAGGGGCCAGGCAGCCTGTGGCTCGCCACCCCACGTCATTCTGACCTGTTGGCAGAGCTGCTACTCCTGTTGAGCCTCCTGTCTCCTCCTGATGACCCTTGGGCATATTCTGGGCCACCCCAGCCATCCAGGCAGGGGGGCCCTTCGTTGGCTGGGCCACCCCAGCCGTCCAGGGGTCCTTCACTGGTATCACCTGGTATTTTATTGCCTTTGATGGCTTGTTTGTGCTCTGAGATGAGAGGTTTGGGTTTCATTGGTCACATTTTCTGCCATTTCTCCAAAGAGCCTTGGGTCCCTTGATCTGGGTGCTCATAGCCCCTGGGTGGTTTCTTGCTTTCAGGCCTTTGCAGTGGGAAAAGGTACAAAAGTTGCTTTTTAAAAAAATGACATGCATCATAAATTAATATTAAACTTGATTCAGATCCAAGGTTTCTTACGTAACCCTTTCGGTCTTCATCAGTCACCCCTTTCTTGCAGCCAAAGACCCTGTTACTCACCACACAGAAATACCCACCTGTTGTATGCCCCAATTCAGACGAGAAAGCTTCGGAATGACAGGGTCCACACTGGCACCAGCGACAGGGTTATCGCAGAGTCCTCTGGGGTTTTGTTGGGGTTGGGTTTTTTTTTTTTTTTCTTTTTTTTTCCTTTGATCTCCAGTGGTGGTGGTGGTGGTGGTGGTAGGTGCTGTTGAGTTGGTTCCAACTCATAGTGACCCCGTGTGCAACAGAACGAACTCTGCCTGTTCCAGCACTAGCCTCACAGCCATTGCTGGGTCTGAGCTCACAGTTACAGCTACTGTGTCATTCCATCTCGCTGAAGGTCTTCCTCTTTTTTTTTTTTTTTTTTAAACCAAGAATAATGTACTTTTCCAAGGACCAGCCCCTCCTGATAGGAACTCTGGTGGCATAGTGCCTAAAGCATGTGACTGCTAACCAGAAGGCTGGCAGTTCAAACCCACCAGCCACTCCTCAGAAGGAAGGTTGGGCAATCTACTTCCATGGAGATACCGCCTCAGAAACCCAAGGAGGGGTCGATGTGAGTTGGGTCTCACTCGACGGCAGTGAGTTTGAGTTGAGTCCCTCCTGATTACGTGACGAAAGTATGAGAGACGAAGTGTCACCATTCTTGTTTCTAAGGAGCATTCTGGCTGTATTTCTTCCAAGACAGATTTGTTTGTTCTCAGGGCATCCACAGTACACTCCATATTCTTTGTCGACACCGTGATTCAGCTGCATTAATTCTTCTTCACACTTCCCTATTCATTTTCCAGCTCTTATATTCCTATGAAGGAGCTCTGGTAGCATAGTGGCTAAGGCACTTGACTGCTAACCAGAAGGCTGGCGGTTCAAACCCACCAGCCACTCCTCGGAAGGAAGGTTGAGCAATCTACTTCCATACTGATACCGCCTCAGAAACCCAAAGAAGGGTCGCTATGAGTTGGGTCCAACTCGACGGCACATAACAACAACAACAACGTATTCCTATGAGATGATTGAAAATACCATGGCTTGGGTTAGGCACACACTAATCTTCAAAGTGACATCTTTGATCTTTAACACTTTAGAGAAGCTTTTGGCAGCAGATTTGTCCAGTGTAATACATTGTTTAATTTCTTGTCTCCTGCCACCATGGGCGTTGATTGTGGATCCGATAAAATGAAATCCCTGACAACTTCAATCTTTTCTCCATTTATCGTGATGCTGCTTATTGGTCCAGTTGTGAGGATGTTCATTTTCTTTATGTGGAGGTGTAATCCACACTGAAGGCTGTAGTCTCTGATTTTCATCAGTAAATGCTTCAAGTCTTCTTCACTTTCAGCAAGCAATGTTTGTCATCTGCATATCGCAGGTAAAACGAGTCTTCCTCTAATTCTGATGCCATATTCATCTTCATATAGTCTAGTTTCTTGGATTATTTGCTCAGCATACAGATTGAATAAGTATAGTGAAAGAACATAGCCCTGACACACACTCTTCCTGATTTTAAGCCATGCGGTATCCCCTTGTTCTGTTCGAAGGACTGCCTCTTGGACCATGTACAGGTTCCACATGAACACAGTGAAGAGTTCTGGAATTCTGATTCAATACAGTGTTACCCATAGTTTGACACGACCCACACAGTTAGATGCCTTTGCACAGTCAGTGATGCACAGGTGAATATGTTCCCAGTGGTCTCTGCTCCCAGCCAAGAGCCATCTGATATCAGCAGTGATATCCTTCAGTCAGAGCCCTCTTCAGAATCCAGCTTGCATTTCTGGAAGTTCCCTGTCAATAAACTGCCACAACCATTTGCACATTATCTCCAGCAGATTTTCATATGTGTGTGATATTAATGATATTGTTCAATAATTTATACATTCTGTGGGATCACCTTTCTTTAGAAATGCGGTCTCTTCCAATTGGTTGGCCAGGTAGCTGTCTTCCAGATTTCTTGGCGTAAATGAGTTGCAGTGTTCTAGTGTTGCATCCATTTGTTGAACCATCTCAATGGATATTCTGTCAGTTCCTGGAACCTTGTTTTTGGCCAGTGCCTTCAGTGCACTTGGACTTATTCCTTCAGTACCATTGGTTCTTGATCATGTTACCTCCTGAAATGGTTGAACATCACCCACTTTCTTTGGTGCAGTGACTCTGTGAATCCTTCCATCTTTTCTTAAAGATCAATATCTTGCCCATAGAATCCTTCAGTATTGCAACTTGAGACTGGAATTTTTTCTTCAGTTATTTCAGCTTGAGAAATGCTGAGCCGGTTCTTCCCTTTTGGTTTTCTAACTCCAAGTTTTTGTACATTTCATTATAACACTGGTATTGGCCATTTTGAATCACATAATCTGTTATGCTGGGAATGACTGATTGAAGAAGAATGGCATTGCATTCATCATCAAAAAGAACATTTCATCAGTATGTCAAGTCCTTGAAAATTGGAAATAGAAATACCATTTGATCCAGCAATCCTGTTACTTGGTATGTATCATAAAGAATGAGAGGCAGGACACGAACAGACATATGCACACACATGTTCATCACAGCACTATTCACAATAGCAAACAGATGGAAACAACCTAAGTGCCCATCAACTAACGAATGGATAAACAAACTGCTGTATGTACACACAATGGAACACTGTGCAACCCTAAAGAATAATGTAGAATCTGCAAAACAGCACATAACATGGATTAACTTGGAGGACATTATGCTGGGTGAAATAAGTCAATCACAGAAGGACAAATATTGTATTAGCCCATTATTGTAAAAAGTCAAGGAAAGGTTTATATGTGGAAGGAAACTTTCTTTGTT